ATGGGGTGAAAAAAACATTTTGCCAATAATCTGTCAAAAAGTAAACTATGCTCTTTTCCAACACTTCTTTAACTGAAAGCAGTAATTCAGCCGAGATATCAAAATTTCAAAATACGTTTTACAGCCCCTAAGTTTTGTTATTATTTTCATTTTGATGCCCCGCCCTTCACCGTTTTAGTCCGGGTTGCCAGAACTCACCGTGAGCTAATCTCACGGGTAAAGAAACATGTGCTGCAGAACTAAGAAAGGTCTCGATGTTTTATCGGGTGGAGGTCTGGAGACTGGCTAGGATCATTATCATGTTGGAACATCCAGCCATGTTTCATGATCAATGCAGTCACTGATTGAAGAAAGTTTTTGCCCAAAATCTCACCATTCTGCCTCATTGCAGAAAAGCAGCCCCAGACCATGACGTGTGACCACCGTGGAACACCCACAGGGTCCACTGCTGTATCACGGTCAGAAGAGACCAAAAAGAACTGTTGTGGTAAAAACTCTTGTGGCAATATGGTAAAAAACTGTAGTTGTCATTGAAGGGGGAAGAATACTCCAAAGAACATCATACCCAGGGGGTGGAAACTTTTGGGGCTGCTTATCTGTGGAGGGGATGGAAAAACTGACCCGTGTTAAGAAAAGGATGAATGGGAGTCGAGTGTAGTGAGATTATGGTGAAAACCTTCTTCCATCAGTGAGAGCACTGAAGATGAAACGTGGCTGCTTAAGAAATGTGTGATAGAGTGTTTATTTGCTGTAAAAAAAAATAACGACTTAAAATTTTACTTCGTGTTAATGCAATACATAGGATTTGTGTATAATTGTTTGTTTCTTTTTTTCAGGTTAGTGACCTGTGGTCTGAACGGTTTAAATTAATAAAGTAAAACAAACAATTCGACTGGCTAAAAGTCTGAACAAAGCAGGCGCTAAAAGATGCAAAAAAGATAACAGTATAAACATCGGTTTTCACTTTGTACATCACTTTTACAGAGTGATCAGTGGAAATTTACAATTGACAACTGCTAAATGCGTGTTTGCTGTATGACTGTATAAGCATGTTCCAGAACAGAGATTATAAACTGTTTGAGCAGTAATTTTGGTTCTTAAACACAATCATGAACCGTTATTTCGTGTTTATAAAACATGAAATAAGAGAAAACAACATGACGAGCCCTTGGACTGCCACCTTAACGTGGTGGGGGAGTTTGAGTACTCGGATGATCCTGGGAGCTATGCTGTCTGGGGCTTCATGCCCCTGGTAGGGCCTCCCATGGCAGACAGGTCTCAAGTGACGAGTCAGACGAAGCGCAGTCCGAAGCCAACCATGGACAGCACGACAACAAAAACCGTGACGTCGCCCGGCATGGCGCAGCCGGGGCCCCACCCTGGAGCCAGGCCTGGGGTCGGGGCTCGCAAGCGAGCGCCTGGTGGCCGGGCCTTAGCCCACGGGGCCCGGCCGGGCTCAGCCCGAAGGGATGACGTGGGCAGTCCCTCCTGTGGGCCCACCACCTGCAGAGGGGTCCGTGGTGGCATGGTGCAGCGAGGACTGGGCAGCGGTCGAAGGCGGAGACCTCGACGACCCAGTCCACACACCCAACATCTGGCTGTTGGGACGTGGAACGTCACCTCACTGGGGGGGAAGGAGCCCGAGCTTGTGGGGGAGGTCGAGAGGTACCGACTAGAGATAGTCGGCCTCACCTCCACACACAGCTTGGACTCTGGAACCCAACTCCTTGAGAGGGGTTGGACGCTCCACTTTTCTGGTGTTTCCTGCGGGGAGAGGCGGCGAGCTGGGGTGGCCATACTCATTGCCCCCCATCTCAGCCGCCACGTGTTGGAGTTCTCCCCGGTGAATGAGAGGGTCGCGTCCCTCCGCCTCCGGGTGGGGGACAAGTCTCTCACTGTTGTGACGGCCTACGGGCCTAACGGTAGTGCAGAGTACCCGGCCTTCTTGGAGTCCTTGGGAGGGGTACTGGACAGTGCACCGCCCGGGGACTCCGTTATTCTCCTGGGGGACTTCAACGCCCATGTGGGAAATGCCAGTGACACTTGGAGAGGGGTGATCGGGAAGAGCGGCCCCCCTGATCTGAACCCGAGTGGTGTTCAGTTGTTGGACTTCTGTGCCAGTCACGGCCTGTCCATCACGAACACCATGTTCGAGCACAAGGGTGTCCACCAGTGCACGTGGCACCAGGACACCCTAGGCCGGAGGTCGATGATCGACTTTGTTGTCGTATCATCTGACCTTCGACCGCGTGTCTCGGACACTCGGGTAAAGAGAGGGGCGGAGCTGTCAACCGATCATCACCTGGTCGTGAGTTGGATCCGCTGGCAGGGGAAGAAGCCGGTCAGACCTGGCAGACCCAAGCGTATAGTGAGGGTCTGCTGGGAACGTCTCGCTGAGCCCCCTGTCAGACGGACTTTCAACTCACACCTCCGGGAGAGTTTCTCCCAGGTCCCGGCGGAGGAGGGGGACATTGAGTCCGAGTGGACCATGTTCTCTTCCTCTATCGCCAATGCGGCGGCTCGTAGCTGTGGTCGCAAGGTCTCTGGTGCTGGTCCCGGCGGCAATCCCCGAACCCGGTGGTGGACACCGGCAGTAAGGGATGCCGTCAGGCTGAAGAAGGAGTCCTATCGAGCAATGATGGTTCGTGGGACTCCAGAGGCAGCTGTCCAGTACCGGCAGGCCAAACGTGCCGCGGCCCGGGCAGTTGCAGAGGCAAAAACCCGGGACTGGGAGGAGTTTGGAGAGTCCATGGAGCATGACTATCGGTCGGCCTCGAAGAGGTTCTGGCAAACCGTCCGGCGCCTCAGGAGGGGAAAGCAGTTCTTTGCCAACACCGTGTATGGTGCGGGTGGAGGGCTGCTGACCTCGACTGAGGATATTGTCGGGCGGTGGAAGGAATACTTCGAGGTTCTCCTCAATCCCCCCGTCACGTCCTCCGTTCAAGAGGCAGAGGCTGAGGATGTTGGGGCGGACACTTCCATCTCCCTGGCCGAGGTCACCAAGGTGGTTGGCAGCCTCCATGGTGGCAAGGCGCCGGGAGTGGATGAGATCCGTCCTGACTATCTAAAGTCTCTGGATGTTGTAGGACTGTCTTGGCTGACACGTCTCTGCAACATCGCGTGGCGATCGGGGGCGGTGCCAATGGAGTGGCAGACCGGGGTGGTGGTCCCTCTCTACAAGAAAGGGGACCGGAGGGTGTGTTCCAATTATCGTGGGATCACACTCCTCAGCCTCCCCGGTAAGGTCTACTCCAAGGTACTGGAGAGGAGGTTACGCCCGATGGTCGAATCTCGGATTCAGGAGGAGCAGTGTGGTTTTCGTCCCGGTCGCGGAACACTGGACCAGCTCTATACTCTCCATCGGATACTCGAGGGTTCATGGGAGTTCGCCCAACCTGTCCACATGTGCTTTGTGGATTTGGAGAAGGCGTTCGACCGTGTTCCCCGGGGTGTCCTTTGGGGGGTCCTCCGGGAGTACGGGGTCCGGGGTCCTCTGCTGAGGGCCGTCTGGTCCCTGTATGACCGGAGCCAGAGCTGTGTTCGCATTGCCGGCAGTAAGTCAGACCTGTTCCCGGTGCATGTTGGCCTCCGCCAAGGCTGCCCTTTGTCACCGGTTCTGTTCACTGTATTTATGGACAGAATTTCTAGGCGCAGCCAGGGGCCGGAGGGGGTCCGGTTCGGGAACCACAGGATTTCATCTCTACTTTTTGCGGATGATGTCGTCCTGTTGGCTCCAACGAACCAGGACCTGCAGCATGCACTGGGACGGTTTGCAGCCGAGTGCGAAGCGGCTGGGATGAGAATCAGCACCTCCAAATCCGAGGCCATGGTGCTCGACCGGAAAAAGGTGCCTTGCCCTCTCCAGGTGGGTGGAGAGGTCCTTCCTCAAGTGGAGGAGTTCAAGTATCTCGGGGTCTTGTTCACGAGTGAGGGAAGAATGGAGCGTGAGATTGACAGGCGGATCGGTGCAGCGTGCGCAGTGATGCGGTCTCTGTATCGGACCGTTGTGGTAAAGAGGGAGCTGAGCCGAAAGGCGAAGCTCTCGATTTACCGGTCAATCTTCGTTCCCTCCCTCACCTATGGTCATGAGCTTTGGGTAATGACCGAAAGAACGAGATCGCGGATACAAGCGGTCGAAATGAGCTTCCTCCGCAGAGTGGCTGGGCGCTCCCTTAGAGATAGGGTGAGGAGCTCAGTCACACGGGAGGAGCTCGGAGTAGAGCCGCTGCTTCTCCACGTCGAGAGGAACCAGTTGAGGTGGCTCGGGCATCTGTTCCGGATGCCTCCTGGACACCTCCCTGGGGAGGTGTTCCGGGCATGTCCCACCGGGAGGAGGCCCCGGGGAAGACCCAGGACACGCTGGAGGGACTATGTCTCTCAGCTGGCCTGGGAACGCCTTGGGGTCCCCCCGGACGAGCTGGAGGAAGAGTGTGTGGATAGGGAAGTCTGGGCGTCTCTGCTTAGACTGCTGCCCCCGCGACCCGGCAACTGATAAAGCGGAAGAAAATGGATGGATGGATGGAACATGACGAGCCTTAAAATGTGTTTGGACATGTTACTTTGAGCGTGCTCCGATCAGACCAGGAGACCACAGTGAAACATGAAAAGGAATTCTACAGCTTCGAACTACACATTTATGCAACATTTATGTTTGTGCCTTCAATGAAATATAAACATCATTTCACATTGAACTTGAAATGTTTTCTCTGTGGGAAAAACACACGCATCACATGTGTACCACTGAAGAGAGACAACAACACTTCGTTGGTTTTGGGGGAAATTGACTCAGTGACTAACTCTGTAAATCTGTGGCAGTCCCTGCGCTGCGTAAACACACATTTGTTTTTCCTCATTCACCTCGGGCAAAGTTTTTGTTTTTCCTTTAGTTTTGTGCATAAAGCCTCATAAACAGCAATGGTTCCACTCAAAACTCTCTCAGCCACTGCCCTCTTAACATGTAGCAGTTTATAGACAGGAAGCAACGCACTTATGTGGCTCTATTATCTGTAATCTGTAGGAACGGGCTCTGGGGCAGTGGCTCTGGGACAGTGGCTCTGGGACAGTGGCTCTGGGGCGGTGGCTCTGGGACAGTGGCTCTGGGACAGTGGCTCTGGGGCAGTGGCTCTGGGACAGTGGCTCTGGGGCAGTGGCTCTGGGACAGTGGCTCTGGGACAGTGGCTCTGGGACAGTGGCTCTGGGACAGTGGCTCTGGGGCGGTGGCTCTGGGACAGTGGCTCTGGGACAGTGGCTCTGGGGCAGTGGCTCTGGGACAGTGGCTCTGGGACAGTGGCTCTGGGACAGTGGCTCTGGGGCGGTGGCTCTGGGACAGTGGCTCTGGGACAGTGGCTCTGGGGCAGTGGCTCTGGGGCGGTGGCTCTGGGACAGTGGCTCTGGGGCGGTGGCTCTGGGACAGTGGCTCTGGGACAGTGGCTCTGGGACAGTGGCTTTGGGACAGTGGCTCTGGGGCGGTGGCTCTGGGACAGTGGCTCTGGGACAGTGGCTCTGGGGCAGTGGCTCTGGGACAGTGGCTCTGGGGCAGTGGCTCTGGGACAGTGGCTCTGGGACAGTGGCTCTGGGGCGGTGGCTCTGGGACAGTGGCTCTGGGACAGTGGCTCTGGGGCAGTGGCTCTGGGGCGGTGGCTCTGGGACAGTGGCTCTGGGGCGGTGGCTCTGGGACAGTGGCTCTGGGACAGTGGCTCTGGGACAGTGGCTCTGGGGCGGTGGCTCTGGGACAGTGGCTCTGGGACAGTGGCTCTGGGACAGTGGCTCTGGGGCGGTGGCTCTGGGACAGTGGCTCTGGGACAGTGGCTCTGGGGCAGTGGCTCTGGGACAGTGGCTCTGGGACAGTGGCTCTGGGACAGTGGCTCTGGGGCGGTGGCTCTGGGGTGGTGGGGCAGTGGCTCTGTGGCTCTGGGGCGGTGGCTCTGGGCAGTGACTCTGGGGCAGTGGCTCTGGGGCAGTGGCTCTGTGGCTCTGGGGCGGTGGCTCTGGGCAGTGACTCTGGGGCAGTGGCTCTGGGGCAGTGGCTGTGTGGCTCTGGGACGGTGGCTCTGGGGCAGTGGCTCTGGGGTAGTGGCTCTGGGACGGTGGCTCTGGGACAGTGGCTCTGGGCAGTGACTCTGGGGCAGTGGCTCTGGGGCGGTGGGGCAGTGGCTCTGGGGCGGTGGCTCTGGGGCAGTGGCTCTGGGGCAGTGGCTCTGGGGCAGTGGCTCTGGGGCGGTGGCTCTGGGCAGTGACTCTGGGGCAGTGGCTCTGGGGCAGTGGCTGTGTGGCTCTGGGACGGTGGCTCTGGGGCAGTGGCTCTGGGGCAGTGGCTCTGGGGCAGTGGCTCTGGGACAGTGGCTCTGGGGCAGTGGCTCTGGGGCAGTGGCTCTGGGGCAGTGGCTGTGTGGCTCTGGGACGGTGGCTCTGGGGCAGTGGCTCTGGGGCAGTGGCTCTGGGGCAGTGGCTCTGGGGCAGTGGCTCTGGGGCAGTGGCTCTGGGGCAGTGGCTCTGGGGCAGTGGCTCTGGGGCAGTGGCTCTGGGGCTGTGGCTCTGGGGCAGTGGCTCATGGGGCAGCAGGTGTCAGGAAAGGTCCGCATCACTGCTCAAATGTGGTGGGCACCATTCAGACGTCTTGGATCCAGAGATTCTCTGTGAAATCACGGATACTTTCAAAAAGCTTCTCATACGCATACTTTCTCTCTCACAGAGATCGTTCAGAGAGCCACCGCCGAGGCGGAGATATTAATATTCATTCATTCATTCATTCATTCATTCACTCACAAGTTCAAGAGAGATGAGTGCTGCAGTGGGTCCAGACACTAGAGAAAAAAAACGTGTGTGTATATAATATAGCGTATATTTCTGAATATTTCTAGGCATGACTTTCATTGATACGCTAGTTTTCACCGCGCATGCGTACGCTCAGATCTGGGCGGATCTCACACGTTCATAAATCCCACGTTGGGTCTTGCGTATATGGAAACTACACCAAAAATATACACCTTTTTCTTTGTAAGTTTCATAAATGAGAGCCAATGAGAGCAACAACAACACAAACAGCTAACTTATAGCTGTCCCACCCATGGGCACTATAGACCTCAATATAAACTAAAATATCTCAACTTCAGCTGACAGAACACACAGCTTTCATAAAGGTCGTATTTTGTGGAGATTTTAGTGTCCCTTGTAAGTTTTCGACAAATCCACACTTTAGTGCAACAAACTTTAGTGCTCTTTTCCATCCAGCTCTAGCTCTGCTCTGATCAGCTGATTGGTCCGAATTCAGTTGTGCCACTCTGTGCACATGCATGAGAGCATCACACACATATTTGGCCCAAAGCATCATGGGAGCAAGTCCACTGCGCAGAACCGGGGGGACCAGAGTATGCCCAAATATGGTTGAGTTCCGATAATCTTTCGGTTCCCATGGTGGTCCCACGTGCTACTGAGCACAAGCCATTGATTTGAATAGGCCGCCATCTTGGATTGTGGTTTGTCATTTGATATTGTATATTTATATTTAAGCCTTAATTAAACAATAATATTTATTAAATTACTTGAATTGATCAGGATATGCGATAGAATACTCAAATAATAAAATATTCGATAGCTGCCACACTAGGTTCTACTAGTATCTATTGTTGACTCATGAAACCCACACAGTGAAGATGTGCGATCTATGAACCATAATCATTTCCGTCTTTCTTGAAGAACGCCCACGGCTACGACAGTCGTGTTGGGAGCATAAGGTCATGCACACCAGAATAGACAGTGATTGGGCTTATTGTTGGAAGAGAGACAACTCCGACTCCAGAACACATCAGACCCATTCTCTCCAGCCACACAAAAACACCATATCAAGCCTTATCATCTGCCTTAATTATGTTATTGAGTCATTTATCCAGGCCTGGCAACGCTTACCCATTCCTCAGAGAGAGAGACAGCGATTTCTTTGTAGCAAGTTTGATGAAAACAACATACGTTTGTGCCAAATGAAAATTGTCACACGAGTCTGTAATCGCAGCTCGTTTCAGTTGGTACCACATAATGCCAGCGAACAGGACCCAGGTGCAACATTGTCAAAATAGTTCCCATGGTTTTTTGTCTAATCAGTTTTGCAAATAACTCCAGTCAAATATGTTCTTATAACAGACTAAAAATAAGGGTTTCATAGTTGCACAGTTTAAAGATCTTCATATGCATCATTTTGAAATGGAAAAATCCCAATCAACTGCAGTGTGGAAAAATGATGTGTTACGTTTACAAAGCCACAATTGCTGGGTTGCTTTGTCTTTGGGAAAATAATGCTGTCACATATTTACACTGGAAACACATGTTCTCTAACTTGACACTTAGAGTACAACAACAGAGCTCGATATGAAGCGAAAAGACTCAGGAACCTTTATAAATATGAAAACAAGTTTATTGGTTTCGCACAGTTCATACAGACGGAAACTCAAAGTGCTCAAAACAAGATCAAAACAATAAAACGACATACATTAAAAACAGTGAAGATAAAATCCAGATGCCCAGTTAAACAGAACTGTTTTAACCTGGATTTCAATATTGTCAGAATAGAAGCCTGTCTCACATTCTCAAGAAGATTGTTCCAGATTTTAGCAGCATGAATCTGAAAAGCAGCCTCCCCATGTTTAGTTCTGACTCTGGGCACTAACAGGAGTCCAGTCCCTGTGCTCCTCAGAGTCCCAGCAGGAGTCCAGTCCCTGTGCTCCTCAGAGTCCCAGCAGGAGTCCAGTCCCTGTGCTCCTCAGAGTCCCAGCAGGAGTCCAGTCCCTGTGCTCCTCAGAGTCCCAGCAGGAGTCCAGTCCCTGTGCTCCTCAGAGTCCCAGCAGGAGTCCAGTCCCTGTGCTCCTCAGAGTCCCCGCAGGAGTCCAGTCCCTGTGCTCCTCAGAGTCCCAGCAGGAGTCCAGTCCCTGTGCTCCTCAGAGTCCCAGCAGGAGTCCAGTCCCTGTGCTCCTCAGAGTCCCAGCAGGAGTCCAGTCCCTGTGCTCCTCAGAGTCCCCGCAGGAGTCCAGTCCCTGTGCTCCTCAGAGTCCCCGCAGGAGTCCAGTCCCTGTGCTCCTCAGAGTCCCAGCAGGAGTCCAGTCCCTGTGCTCCTCAGAGTCCCAGCAGGAGTCCAGTCCCTGTGCTCCTCAGAGTCCGGGCTGGTTCATATGGGACTAACATGTCACTAATATATTTTGGTGCGAGGCCATGGAGAGACTTGTAACAAGCAGAGCTGTTTTAAAGTCTATTCTCTGAGCCACAGGAAGCCAGTGCAGAGACCTGAGGACTGGACTAATGTGGTCGTACTTCCTGGTTCTAGTCAGGACCAATATGGTCGTACTTCCTGGTTCTAGTGAGGACTAATGTGGTCGTACTTCCTGCGTCTAGTCAGGACTAATGTGGTCGTACTTCCTGGTTCTAGTCAGGTTTTACAGCCTGTTTGGACAGACCTGTGAGCAGGCCATTGCAGTAGTCTAGACAAATGCATGAATGAGAATCTCCAAGTCTGCTTTTGACATGATGCCCTTAATTCTAGCAATGTTTTTTAGCTGATTGAAAGCTGCTAATGTTACAGATTTAATGTGACTATTGAAATTGAGGTCCGAATCCATGATTACTCCTATATTTCTAATCTGATTTTTGTAATTTGGAGACAAGTTCCCACAGACGTTATTCCTCCATGCGCCTCTTCTCCTCACACCACGTTTGTAAAACTATATATTTTAATAGATCCATGGTAAAACACATTAGAGGGTGCGGTCTTGTTTACATGTCCGCCTCAAGAGACCAAGACGTTTGGAGAGATCCGGTCATTTATCAAACTAAAGGATTGGCAATGTATAATCTCAACACACACAGTGGACCTAAAAAAAATAATCTCGCTGAACTACAAGTTGGACAGAAGAAACTTTTTTAGGAAATGTGAGGTAAGCTTCTTTTTTTGTCATCAGAAAATCATGCTTTGTGTCAAATGGAATATTTTTGAAGTTGTTAGAAGCAAACTTTTACCTTTTAAACATAAATTAGAATGTTTGTCAGAAATATAAAGCTGATCTGCAGATGAGATTATTTGCCAAAACCACGCAGCCCTGAACAGATCTTTATGTGTGGTACTGTATAAAATAAAAGTATTGGCTCTGAGTGTGTCCAGGATTAATGCAGCGCAGATGAAGCTTCTGACCCAGTGCCACAAAGTGTGAGAGTGACATGATGGATTAACCCCAGAACACACTCTCTACTGCAGCCAACACACCAACACACTGCATACTCACACAGGCTGCATACTGAGGATGCAGCCTGTGTGAGTATGCGGCCTGTATTAGTATGCAGCCTGTGTGAGTATGCAGCCTGTGTGAGTATGCGGCCTGTATTAGTATGCGGCCTGTGTGAGTATGCAGCCTGTGTGAGTATGCAGCCTGTGTGAGTATGCGGCCTGTGTGAGTATGCAGCCTGTGTGAGTATGCGGCCTGTGTGAGTATGCGGCCTGTGTGAGTATGCAGCCTGTGTGAGTATGCAGCCTGTGTGAGTATGCAGCCTGTGTGAGTATGCGGCCTGTGTGAGTATGCGGCCTGTGTGAGTATGCAGCCTGTGTGAGTATGCAGCCTGTGTGAGTATGCGGCCTGTGTGAGTATGCGGCCTGTGTGAGTATGCAGCCTGTGTGAGTATGCAGCCTGTGTGAGTATGCGGCCTGTGTGAGTATGCGGCCTGTGTGAGTATGCGGCCTGTGTGAGTATGCAGCCTGTGTGAGTATGCAGCCTGTGTGAGTATGCAGCCTGTGTGAGTATGCGGCCTGTGTGAGTATGCGGCCTGTATTAGTATGCGGCCTGTGTGAGTATGCAGCTTGTGTGAGTATGCAGCCTGTGTGAGTATGCAGCCTGTGTGAGTATGCGGCCTGTGTGAGTATGCGGCCTGTGTGAGTATGCAGCCTGTGTGAGTATGCAGCCTGTGTGAGTATGCAGCCTGTGTGAGTATGCGGCCTGTGTGAGTATGCGGCCTGCGTGAGTATGCGGCCTGCGTGAGTATGCGGCCTGTGTGAGTATGCGGCCTGTGTGAGTATGCAGCCTGTGTGAGTATGCGGCCTGTGTGAGTATGCGGCCTGTGTGAGTATGCAGCCTGTGTGAGTATGCGGCCTGTGTGAGTATGCAGCCTGTGTGAGTATGCAGCCTGTGTGAGTATGCGGCCTGTATTAGTATGCGGCCTGTGTGAGTATGCGGCCTGTGTGAGTATGCAGCCTGTGTGAGTATGCAGCCTGTGTGAGTATGCAGCCTGTGTGAGTATGCGGCCTGTGTGAGTATGCGGCCTGTGTGAGTATGCAGCCTGTGTGAGTATGCAGCCTGTGTGAGTATGCAGCCTGTGTGAGTATGCAGCCTGTGTGAGTATGCGGCCTGTATTAGTATGCGGCCTGTGTGAGTATGCAGCCTGTGTGAGTATGCGGCCTGTGTGAGTATGCGGCCTGTGTGAGTATGCAGCCTGTGTGAGTATGCGGCCTGTGTGAGTATGCGGCCTGTGTGAGTATGCGGCCTGTGTGAGTATGCGGCCTGTATTAGTATGCGGCCTGTGT